GTTACCATGCACACGATGGACTCCGGACAAAATGGATTCCTCTAGATCTTTATTCCAATATGCCCAAGTTGTGAAAACAAGTTCAAACAACATCTAAGGAAAAATAAAGATTAAAGGCATATTTAGATCTACATATTTTGCTATATGAATCAAACCATCGCGGCTTTGCTTTGGCTGAATAACACTAAGTGTATTCTAATTATTTTAATGTTATATTAATAGCTTTCAAGAGCATTTTAATATTAGTTACGAAATTCTATTTGAGAGTCTTGATTGACACAATAATGAGACATCGGGGCTGCTTTAGAATATAGATCCCTTTAATTTTTGAGAAAATATCTTATCTCTATATGATTTAGCATTCATCTACAATCTTAATCGCCATTCAGGTGTCTCATAATTCAGAATAAATGGCTTGTTCATCATCTATAGATCCAAAAGACAGACTTTTTATAATAATCGCAGCATAGCATTGGCACAAAGAAAGAGGACATGATCTGAGTGTTTGATATCGAAGGTTTACTGAGATAGGAAACGCCGATTATGATGGTCCGGTTAATCGTCAAAATAAATAAGTCTATTTACTTGAAAAATAGTATATAGAAATGCGTAGAAGTAAAAATGAGGGCCGTAAACCTATTTAGTCCATTCCAACCGGTGCCAAAAATAGAGCACAAATATGTAGAAAAAAGACTTTAAACGAAATTATACTTTCTGACATTTAAAATTATATATTTGCAATATATTTCTCAACGACACCTTGACCAAATTATTGGATGGCGACTAGCTAATATTAATAGTCACATATTTAACAGATTGGCTTAATAATGATTAGAAGGGCTGTGAACTCTTCAACTTAAAAAGTCTAAATGTATTTAGTTCAAGTTTAAATGATACTGTACTATAGGTTATCCAGATGGTATTTTGTATTCTACTTCAAAATTTGGTTTTAATATTTAATCATTAGTAATTTGACTCTCGCAAAAAAAAGAATACATTTGATGACATTAAAGCATTTCCTTTGAAGTTTACTATGTTCTCATCTATGTCATTACTCTAAATTGTTGAAAATACTATGAAAATTATCTTTGAATCTAATTTATGTTAATCCAAATCTCCGATACTGGTTATGAGCTGGTTAAATTCTTCTACATTTGTCATCAATGTGGTCGATAATATTTGTTATTGCATTTATTAATAATCAAATTTTCAATTATGCCTTTTTACGTGAATGTATCCACTGATGTGCTGTTGGATGTTTATATTTCTCGATTGAGAAAAACGAACTTAATTATCATACTTCAAACGGCTTACAATTGCGTCTTAGGTTAACCAGCTATATCAATCACCAATTGACCTTTTCAAAAAATTTAAGAATCGTTTTGATTTAATAAAACCTTTGGGAACAAATCTAATTAGTTTTGTTTATTTTTATTATACAATTAGATACAACTGAAATAATTTGTTTATATCGCTTAGTCATCCTTCACATTGCCTTCAATTTCCCTGTTCCTCAGCTACAGTACTTTTCGTTTTTTATAGCATCCTTTCTCTGGGCGCACTTTTCGCCTCATTTAATCCCAATATCTTACATATTTTTTGAATTCTTACGTAGGGGATAAAGCTGTAGACATTTGTATACTTCGCTCCTGTTGCAATTATTTATCATGGCCGGCAGTCAAGTGCACTTTAAACTAGTTGTTCTTGGAGAATCGGCTGTGGGGAAGTCTAGTATTGTCCTTAGGTTTGTAAAATCTCAGTATAATGAATATCAAGAGGCTACCATTGGAGGTAATTAGAACTTGCTTATTTCCTTCAGCTGCCTATCTTACGCAGACTATCCTAGTCGGCGACCCATCTGTCGCTGTTAAATTTGAAATTTGGGACACAGCTGGTAAAGCTTTTTACTGATGTTATTTTATGGCTTAAATCTCTATTTGTTCAGGTCAGGAGCGTTACCACAGTTTGGCTCCAATGTACTACCGGGGTGCCCAAGCAGCCGTCGTCGTTTACGATATCACCAATTCCGAATCTTTTCAACGAGCTAAGGGTTGGGTTAGTGAGTTAAATGAAAAGTCAACAGCCGTCAAGGTCATCGCTTTAGCAGGAAATAAATCAGATCTATATACACAGAGAGCCGTCCCTATCGTGGTATCTTATTTGAATTTTTGTTGTCTACTGCATCATAATTCTCCTTACAATAGTCCTATATTCCTTCCGAATTTTTACAGGAAGCTCAACAATATGCTAATGGCTCTGGGCTTATTTTTATGGAGACCTCGGCAAAAACTGGGGCCAATGTAATCGACTTATTTACTACAATAGGCATGTTTTACCCTACATTTTTTACAATTTTTATGCTGAAATTTGGCACCGTTAATTTCTGTTTTATTTCTAGCAACCCGACTTTCAAGAACGGATATTCCACAGACCGCAGGGACTCAACGTTTGCTAGAGGGGCCACCTTCAAACCTTACAGGATCTAGGTGCTGCAAATAGATCTTGCTTAGGTCAGATAAGTTAGTTGGCACTTAATAAATTTTTATGCATGGATTATCCTCCAAATAACATTCACATCGACCGTCCCAACTCTACACAACTGTCGGCTCGTGGACTTTGCTTTATCTGCTTTCCAGGCTCCTAATCTCACTTTGAATCTAACTCTGAGTCATTGCCTTGAATACTTCGCTTAACTTTATCTTCAAAACATTAGCATTCATCTTATTCTTTATAAATGCAGTAACGGCTATTCGCCCATTTGCTTGGTCTTCCCTGTGGGCGTGATTGACATTCATTCTCTCTTCTCCATTGTCTTTCTCTATGACTTTTGTCGCGAGTTTCATAATTTCGTATTTCCTATCGAATGCGGCATTTTAACTAATTAAATTTTTTCTTGCCCGTTTATTCGGACACGGTACATATTAACAAATATTATCAAGTGAGAAAAATCATCATAGGTTTTGTACAATCTCTGGTTTTCCCTCAACGTGGCCAATCCCTGTTATGGTTGATGAACTGAGTTTTTCACTTCTTTGTATTTACGGAAAGATCTTTTTCTGAGATTGCTGTATAGATTATCCTGCCTGATTTCCATTTCAGCAGTCACATTTTGAGTGGTAATTTTATCTTTTCTATTGGCAACCTGCTTTCTTGCCACTCATTCGATCATACATTTTCTTCTGTATACATTGCCGCTGTATTCCACACTGACAACTGAAGAGTATTGATTTTCGTTGCCATTTCAATTACTTCCCTTATGTTTGATTCAGATTAGCCTCTTTGATTCATTATCATCATTCTCTATGTGATATATTTTATAATGGAGCTGGATATTACTCGCGGAAAGTTTCGTCTTTCCTATATGCCAGTACAAGACGTATTGTACCAGCGAATATTTGATTATAATTCCTTGTTCCCCTTGTCTACTTTGCCACTATCTTGTCCAGGCAAATCTTGACTTTTTGTTTAGTTTTCATCACTGCCCTGGATTGATTAAATTGATTCGCGCAGTTACACTTTCGGAGCACAATAGATTTTAACTTGATGTTTTAATTACGTCAGGCGTTTTTCTCGCTGTTTAATTGAAAACAGGATTTTGTGTTTTTGACCAGCTATTCTGATATTATTTAAGAGTTTCTCGTTTAGGCTCCTGCTTAATGCTTTTCTTTGAAAATTCTACTCTTATCTTGTCGTAGGTCATTTTTCTTGCCCATATTCACGTGTTTTCGTTATCCTGGACTTTTGTGAGCTTCTAGAATCGGTCTGACGTATGGACCAGATGCTTAAGCATAATTTTTCAGCCCT